CCGAGCCTACTTTGCAGTATATACTATCACATGATACACACCCTAATTACAGAACATTTACTTGTCTGAATAACTACACAGCACACAATATACAGAGACACTTACAAAAATATACAAAGGTTACACCCTGGGCCCAAGGAAAAGAGATAAAAACCTATTCAAGCACACAAACTCACCAAAGTTGTGACGTCACAATTCATCCTTGTAAATTTCTCACACACACAAAATTAACTTAAAGTGCACAAATCGCACAGAACACATAATAAATGCCAACATAACACAAAGGCATTAAACATTACACAGATCATTCACATCACTTTGCACCACAAGAGGTGCTATGGAAGAAAAGTCACATGGTGGAAGTTGGAGGTTAGGCCCATGCCATCGGCCTAAGGCCATGGTTAAGTTTTAGTTACATCTTGACAGCAGAAGGGCGGCAGGGAAATGGAATCTTAACTTAGCCGCTCATGATGGAGGCTAATAAAGTGAAAGTGTCTCTTTCACCCACGGTAATGGCAGACGCCATGTTTTGTTTATTTACCGATTACAGTCTCAAATTCAGCAACGAGCCACGGGTAAACAATTATCCAGCCCTGGACGTGTCCGCCGGGAGGAATGACGAGGCGACGAAGGGCGAGGCACGACACGACGTGTCAGCCGGTTACGGTCAGCTGTTGGGTGCTCGGGTGTTGTGCGCCCAGCCCGGGGTTGGGGGGTGTGAGGTGAGACGGTATGGTTAAAGGTTGGCCCTCCACGGCGGCAGGCACAGCTTTCCGAGGAGAGCGTGTCACCCAGTCAGTTCTGATTTTTTGTGTACACCATATGGATTCTTTTTATTCGAGTTTGCCCGCTGAGATCTCAGCAAAATGCAATTTGATGAAGGACAATGTTACATCCAATTTCGGGTCAAAATATTCTTAAAACAAGAACCCTCATCTCTTTTCAAGATCTAAGGGCTTTCTGAACACACCAACAACGGCTGTCGAGTTAACCACCCCTCACAGTGCCACCTCGCCCCGTCCTAGGCGAATAGGAATGCATTAGAGTGCGAGTCGCTCTGTGCGGCCCGTGCCGCCCCCGGGCACTGCCGCCGGGCAGGGGGTAGGCAGGCAGGCAGGTGGCAGGCGTGGGGAGGGAGGCGTGTGAGAATGGATGGCACGGCAAGTTTTCTACCCGGCACCGCACCTCAAGCGCACGTACTCAAATTTATGCACTGTCACGCGGGTGTGGCCACGCAACGCCGCCGCGCGCCGCACCGAGACCTGGCTGGTCACGTCCCATTCTCCACGAATGTGCCAAGAACCAAGACGCGTCGGCCTATCCATCCAGGCGCACACGCGTGGCGCGCGGGCCGTGGAGGGATACACATCGCCGCTCTCCTGTGCCGGCGCAGGGCAGGCGGTCCGCGGCCGGCTAGCTGCGCGGCCAATCGAGTAGGCATGCTACTGGTCCACCTCTTCAGAAATAGTACGGTACGGCCATACGGGCGGATGTACCGACACCAGGTGCACAGTGCACCCCCCCACTTTTTGGGGGTGGGGTGGGGGCAAGTATTTTGTAATTTGATACCAGATATTTGTACAAATTATTTCCTCGTCCTCACGGCAGAGCTGGACTCAATTTACTTTAAAGTGAACGGGGACCAAGGAAATAGGTGAGGAATCAGCATACAAATAACGTACTAGTCTGCCGGGCAGCTGGAATCCTCACGATGTGGAAGCCTGCCTGACAGCAGTGACAGCACTGCCTGGCCCAACCCAAGCGGGTTCAATGCAAATGTATGCTGAAAGATCAGCCGGCAAACGTCGGTTTTGACCCCGGCACAAGGCTCACTCTACCCCTGACCAGACAGACAGCCCCCCGCGAGGCCGCAGACAGGGTGTGGCGGGGCGGAGTGTGGCGTGGTCGGGCGTGGGGCGTGGCGGTGCGCGGTGCGGTTGGCGCTGGCGCGAGGCAAAGGCGGCTAGGAAGTGCGATTTCACGCCATTTCGCACAGTTCTGCGGGGCCACATGTCAAGAGCGGGCGACGGGGAAAAAAAAGTAAAACAACATATACGTGCCTCGACGACATGGTTGGCGCGAGCAGGCGACAGGGGTCGCGACACTTTCTTGTTCTCTCCATCGCGCGCACGACACACACATACACTCCAAAATGGGTTTTCCGCTCAGGGCTCTCTGGCATAGCCGTACGCGGCACCACTTGCTCAGCGGGGAGCTCCCGGAGCCGAGCTATGCGCCACTCCTGCAGCGCGAGTTGTCTTACGACGCGAGGCACTTGAAGCTCACGAAAGCCATTCCCGCAGGACTTCACAGTGTGAGGACCAGAGCAAATAGTCAGGTGGGAACAAAAATGTATTCAAAAGGTTGAAATGGGGAAAAAAACTTCAGTTTCTAGTGACTTGAAAAGCCTATTACTTTATGATTAATCGATTCACAGTGAGCAGCACTATTTTCGTTTTCCTTAAAACGCTTTATAGTCTATAGGCTCGATATTGTTTTGATTAGTTTTAGCCTGAAGTGTCGTAATAAAATAGCGGTGTACCGAGTGTTGCATAGAAGACACAGGTGCGGACGGGTTTGCCTACCCAAGGGGCTACGCCGCCTTACGGGCAGAGCGGGTAGGCAAACCCGCCCGCATCTGTGTCTTTAATGCAACACCCGGTATAGTCTTGTTTAGTTACACTGCCATGTAAATTACTCGCAAAATTATCAGTGTTTCAAACGAGACACGTTTCTGCACTTAAGTACACAAAAACATTACACGCGTACAATGCAGCCACCAAAGCTATTTTCCAGCACCATACACTACCAAAAATCATGTCACTAGGTACATAACAGGGTACGGAAAACTGTGGTGCGGATGGTACGTACGGTACGAGAAGTCCGTTTATGATTGACTATAGTGCCCATAGATTCCATGTTAAAAATGAATGTGGTCCGTACTCCAGCAGGTACACGAATGGTTGACCAGGCACATTGTCCACTTGACTTTTCCATATACGGTATTGTTTTTAGCATGCCCTTCTGTTTTGTTTTACGGAGCACCAGGCAAAAGCCACGAGTACCCAATATTTTCTTCAAATGCCCATTCATCTTCTGATAGACTAAATACCTAGGTGAGTGGCGTATGGCCCATATATATAGGTGGTGCTCAGACCTCAGCGGCGCTCGATAGTCCGAGGGTTGTTGTGTGGCCATCCCGGTGTGCGAGTGGCCGCGGGGGGCAGCCACAGGCCCGAGAGGCCCGGACCGTTTGCGGTTACCCTTTGAACGCCAATTAGGAGGCAGAGCTGGTGGGTCTGCGCGTGCGCGCGCGTGCACTGGAGCGAACAGTCTATGTTAAGGGCTTCCCATTCGAAGAAAACTTTCATTTTGCCCTAGGAACATGAAACTGGCAAACAACAGTCGAGGAAGTAACGAAGAAAAAGGACAACTAATATCGTCCAACTGTCCGGAGAGCATAGATTTACAAACTATTGAAGTCTATGTTTGACAACTTTGTGTTACTTGGGTTTTTGATTAGTGACAGCACATTCTGGTTGGCTGAGCGATTAGCGAAACATATTACTCCAGTGATGATCAAAAAGTTTCGCGTCTGTCTGTCTGTCTGTGTGTGTGTCTGTTTGTCTGTCGTCACGATAACTTGAGAACGAATTGAGCTAGCGACCTGGGATTTTTAGGGTCGTTTCGTATCATAAAAAGACAGATCGAGTTCGAAGAAGAGCACTCTAGCTCAAAAATTGGATTTTTAAAGAATCAAAAACCACAGGTCTCACAAGTAATGTTTTTAAAAATATTTTTTTACAGTTTCCTAAGGGGTAACTCATCAAAATAGAGCCCTTTGACCGAAAATTTCGTCCGTTTGGCTTTATCTTTAACCAATTAGGCACCACAGGGAGTTTTTGACTTAAATGAGCGAAAAAATGTACAACCCTGCATGCTTAGCCGAAGAGACGGGAAGTTGACGGGCCAGAGGCCCGTATCTTTGTATACATTTTTGCGCTACCCGACTTGGGTGTCAGCGCCGCAGGCCTAGGTAGATGTATGCCAGGCACGTCGCAGCGTAACAGTGTTTCGTGAGATATCGCGAAGCCTGTTACGCGAGACGTGGTCTGGCGTACATCTACCTAGTAGTATGTAAAACTATGCTCTTTCGACAGTTGGACGGTGGCAGTTGGCAGTGCCGTGGATATTCAAAACAAGAGATATCGACCAACGCCAAGTTGTAAGTTTTCAGGACAAAAACTTACAGAAATTCAAAATGAGTGCTAATTACTTTCGGAAAGTATTGTACCAAGTAAAGATATACGTAAGAAAACGATGAATAGTTTTCGGTATTATAGCATAATATTGGTTTAGCAACCCTAGAAAAACAATTACCTCCCAAGACGATTTGCATAACCGAATCACGAAAATAAGTATTTTGGTGCCGATCTAATCCACTAACTATCAAACGACAATATAAGTAGTCCCAGTCCCGTTTCTATCGAAATACCGGTATATCACTCTAAACAGTTATCGTGATTTGACGACATGCTGCGTAAGAAATAGTTTGCAAAAAGTCGTAGGTGTCAAATTAAATTTCCTTGAAATTTACAACTATATATTTTGTAACGCTCACGTATTCTCTGCTCAACAAAATGTTGGACAACATTCACTCTAGCATTTACTCTTTCATTACAGCCTTGGAATTTACAATTCGTACAATAACTATGTAAAGTACTTTGAGAAAAATGTAGTTTACGTGATAGAAAATTCACCAAGAAAATTTCGTCAAATCACGAAATTTTGTAACAGTGTATATTATTTGACGTTTTTTTGACACTCTCTCGTCTCGGTATATTTGCTTTACAGTTTCTAGGAAAAGCGTACACCAGCCAGTAAGCATTTGGAATAGAACCACCAAACGTATGGCGTCCAATCTGGGCAAATTAAATGTCCGTCTAGGATGGCCAGGGGCCCGGGCGCCGTTGCGTTCTGGTTGCAGTCGTCGAGCCTACCTGTAAGCGCCCACAGCTCCTTGAGGCAGTCGTCGCGGTGCTCCTTCATGCTCCCGCGCTGGTTCATCTCGTAGCCCCCCTCCAGGGCCTCAAAAAGCAGCGCGCCGAGTAGCACGTAGCCGCCCACAAGAGTGAGAAGCCCCACGTTGGAAAAGAGATGCGTGAAGAAGCTGCGCAGGCAGGTGCTCAGGCGGCGGACGCGCGAGGCTGGTGGGGGAGGAGGCGGCGGCGGCGGCCCCACCACGTCCACGTCGTCATCATCGTCCAGCTCCGGCTGCTCCAAGGACGTCCCCTGGACGGCCTGGACCCCGTCCATGTGGGCCCCGGAGGTGCGGCTGCGGCCCGGCGGCCGGTCCGTCTGGCGGTCCCACAGAGCGGCCGCGGCACTGTGGTCAGCGTGCTCCTGTCCGTCGGAGTCGGACCACTCGGACTCGGTGCTCGGGTGCCATCGTACCCGCTTGGGTCCAGGGCCAGGTCCTGGAGCTGGGCCTAGGGCTAGGCCTCGCTCAATCGTGTCGCCCAGGGTGGGGCCCCCGAGGGCTCCCGCCGAGGCTCCACTGGGGCTTGGGCTGGGCCTGTGGCTAGTCCTCGCTCAATCGTGCCACCCGGGGTGGGGCCCCGAGGGCTCCCGCCGGGGCTGCACTACGGCGCGCGCCAGGGCAGGGGCGTCATCCGCGGCGGCCGCGCACACATGTCGGGCCGGCGCGCCTGCGGGGGAGGGCGCTCACGAGGGGGACGCGGACGCGGACGCGGAGCGCGGGGTTGCGCAGAAGCGGCCCGCGAGGAAGGCGCGTGTCGGACTTCGCGTGTCGGCGCGGCGAGGCTCGTGGCGGCGCGGCTGCTGTGCACGCGTTCCCAACGACTGCATGCTCGCGCGCCCCGGTGGCCACTGGCCGGGGCCCGCCCGCGCCTCGCGCAGGCTCTAGGCTGGTGGCGCGGAGTATCGCCACCGTCCAGGCCCCTTGCCGTGGCAGGAGGCTACCGCGCCCCCGGAGCGTGGCGTATGCCCACGGGCACAGCGAACCTAACAGAAGAGTTCGTGGAGGCAGTATACATCTCATAGCTGGAAAGAGTCCTGTATTAGAAGTTTTACGCACACCGAAAATGTTTACATTTGAGCTGCGTTTCTGTCACTTTCATTTCATTCCTAGTTTAACGGTTACAACCGTTCTACAATAGCGTATTTCAATGGAGCGCTGCCCGGAACTAAGAAGAACAAAACCGGATAGAGAGAGCGGTGGTGGGGGCGGGCGCGCGGAGGAGCGGCGGGTGGAGGGGAGCCTCCCCGCCCGCCCTCTGCTCCTCCGCTCGCCCGCCCCCACCACCGCACTCTGTATCCGGTTTTGTTCTTCTTAGTTCCGGGCAGCGCTCCATTGAAATACCCTATTACCCGTACCCGTAACATTGTTTGTTGGCTAAGCGATTAGCGAAGCCCTTTACTCCACTGACCGGAAAAGTTTCATTCTGTTTGTTTGTTTGTCCGTCTGTCCGCACGATAACTCGAGAAAGAATTGAGTGAGCGATCTGGGAATTTCAGGGTCGTTTTGTATCATAAAAAGACAGATCGAGTTCGAAGATGAGCACTCTAGCTCAAAAATTGACTTTAAAAAAAATCAATAACCACAGGTACCAAATTATTTATTTTTTAAAAAAATATTTTTTTATGGTCTCCTATAAGGTAACCTGTGTAAGTAGAGCCCACTAAGCGAAAATTTCGACCGTTTTGCTCTATCGTGTACCGTTTGGGTGCTAGGTGGCATTTGTTTTTGAAAACGGGATGAAAAAGACCAAATGGTCTATTAAATCGTAATAAGACTTCATGGCACAAAATTGTTGAGGGAGTAATACTTCAACCACGCATTGGGGGTCGAACCACACCCTCTTCTAGGCTTAGGGGTCCTTAGATTATTTAGTATCACAAAAACGTTGATATTTACATACCGTCAAAGTGTCATATTAGGGACAAATTTGGCCGTTTTTCCTCAATATTTCTAAAACCGGTAGGGGTATGAAAAATTCCAGCGGATTCTAGAAACTAGGCGCCAAGACACATATTTTCCATCTGGAGAGGAAATTTTCTTTGCGCCAGTTCACCTGCACAAGCCTCTGAAACCCCGTCCGGATGTAAACCCGAAGTCGGGGAAAATCCGGACAGTCCCTATTTATGCTATTAAATGGTAGTAGAACAGGTCGATATGCCAATACTGCACTGCAGCTGCGTGCCAGTACACACCAACTTAACCCGTAACTGCGGAACCAGAGTGATATTGAAATTTTCGAGGCAAAATTGGTCCATTTCAGAAGTTATGCAACTTCTGCAAAAGTCAGTGCTTATTTTAGTAGAAGGACATTGGTTTCGCAAAATACGCCATAAGAATGTGTACAACAATCTTTACCTCACAGGACTTTGTCAAAATTGAAAATTAAGGGCATTTTTAACTAAGATTAGTAAGTGAGAGATCGAGTGAAATACCATACAATCAATATTACGCGCAAAAGTCCGCAGGATATTAAAAATTATCGACTCCAGCGTAGTGACGTTAAAGCTGTATCTAGTGACAGTGGCTAGCACTGGTGCTATGCGGCACACGCATTGAAGTACCGCTTCACAGTGTGCGTACTGATCGGGTCCCATTGTTCAAATAGACCATTCCGGTAAAGTCGAAATGCAGAAGAATGCATGGAACAAGAAAACGGAAGTCCCATGGAAAAGCATAGTGATCTCCGTGTTCTTCTTTCTCCCATTCTTCTGCATTTTAGCTTTACCGGAATGCTTTATTGCCTTGCTCTGGGCGGCCCTGAAATATGAAACTACTAATTATTTAAATCTCCAGAGCCTCCCGGAAAAGTATCTATCTAAATTATGAACCTACATTGTGCAATTTGCTGTAAAAATGCAAAAAAGCAGTGTCCGGATTTACTCTGCTGGTCCGGAATTAGACACTTTGACGGTAACAATCTGTCAAAATTAGAACCTTTATCGAACAGCAGAAGTTTCATGTCCCTAATGTTACACAAATAAGACCTCGTCAAATACTGTCAGTATGTCAAATGTTGGTGCCGGAAGAAACTGTTCCCGCATACCATCCCATTAACTCGTCTCGGGTGTCAGCGCCGCAGGCCTAACTATATGTGCGCCAGGCGCGTCGCAGCGTAACAGTGTTTCGTGAGATATCGCGAAGCCTGTTACGCGAGACGTGGTCTGGCGTACATATAGCTGGTATTTTAGATGCTCCAGCTCGGTCTCTTGAAAAGTGCTGCATTAGCCATACTTGTTGGCTGAGCGATTAGCGAACCCCATTACTCCACTGACCGGAAAAGTTTCATTCTGTTTGTTTGTCTGTCTGTTTGAGGGCTCAAAATCAATAGGGTATTGGTCTAGAGCGCCGAGCGGATGTAGAAGAACAAAAACGAAAGATGGAAAGGCGCCCGCACTCCTCCCCGGGCGCTCCCCCACTCCGCCCAGTGGAGGAGAGGGGGACGGCGCGAACGCCTTTCCACCTTCCGTTTTTGTTCTTCTACTTCCGCTCAGCGCTCCAGACCAATACCCTATACAGTTCTTGCTTTTTATGATGCAAAGTTACAACAAAAATTTGAGCCTAGCTCAAACCGTTCTCGAGTTATCGCGCTTACAGACAGACACTCAAACAGACGCGAAACTTTTTTTATCATCACTGGAGTAATAGGCTTCGGTATCGCTCAGCCAATGAACACTTAGACACATAATTTAACCCAATGCGTTGAGCCGCTAATCGCTCAGCCAACTAGCTATATGTACGCCATACCACGTCTCGCGTAACAGGCTTCGCGATATCTCACGAAACACTGTTACGCTGAGACGCACCTGGCATACATCTATCTTGGCCTGCGGCGCTGACACCCGAGTCAGGTAGTGCAAAAATGTGCACAAAGATACGGGCGGCCCGTCAACGCCCGTCACTAATCAGGCAGGGTTGTACATTTTTTCGCTTATTTTCGTCAAAAACACCCTCTAGCGCCTCAACGGTTTCAGCTAGAGCAAAACGGACAAAATTTTCGCTCCGGGCTCTACTTTGAAGAGTTACCCCTTAGGAAACCATAAAAAAAAATATGTTTAAAAAACGTCCTTTTTGGGACCTGTTTGCGATTTTTTACAAATCCAATTTTTGAGCTAGAATGCTCTTCTTCGAACGCGATCTGTCTTTCTATGATACAAAACGACCCTGAAAATCCCAGGTCGCTCGCTCAATTCGTTTTCGGAATTTCGTGCGGACAGATACACAGACAGACAGACAGACACGCAGACAGACATCAAAAGTTTTTTCCGACCAGATGGAGTAATAGGCTTCGCTAATAGCTCAGCCAATTATACATGAGTAATCACAATACAGAATGACATTGCATATACAAAACAATCAATACTAGCTTATTACATTAGTGAGATCAACTAACACATCAGTCTTTGACATTTAAAATCTTACATTTTAGCCCTAAACAGTGTTTAAGGCTAAAATGTAAAATTTTAAATGTCAAAGACTGATGTGTTAGTTGATTTGTAGAACGTCCAGGATACCACATATGTTCAGTTTCCTGGACGTTTCTGCCAAGGGCAAGTCCATAGTTGCGGACATCTGACCGAGCGGACAGGGGCGGACAATGGGCGGACACGTTCAGTGTGGGGGCACCTTAACTCACGTACTACTGTTAATGTTTTGGAAACCAAAGTTACATGTTATGTTTTATAGCGATATATCCTTATCAATTTTGTTTTGATTCAGACTGTGTATAGTTTATGTTATGGACTCGAGTCTTGCTTAGGCTTTGTATGTTGTTTCATTTTGGATTTTTTGGTTCCCTTAAGTTTCGAAATATGTTTTCGTAACACTTTATATACTTGAGTGTCTATTAAATTATATCTATTAAGTACTGTATAGAGGTTTCTAGAGGACACAGGGATATAAACCGCTCTGTGCCCAGGTAGCAGAGCTGCATAAAATGTGCATTTCGTGTCCAATTTAAACTGCGCCTACAACGTGTGTAGGCGCCTAATATGCACTCAAATGCATTTAAGATGGGACATATAATGCGGTTCGAATGCAGTTTGCTATATTTTGCTACCTGGGTGATAGCTTGCTCAGGTTCAACTTACTTTATTTGACTGTTTTGAATAATGAGAGTAATAGGGATGTGACAAAAGACGATGGACGATTAAAAAATGGCAAACAACAGGTATGACAATTTAGTCGATCCGGTTGTGTAGCACCCCCCTTTGAAAAATCTGAAAGATAACAGATTTTGCAAACAAAGTGAATCGAGATACACCTTTTAGTACAAAACTAACGATTGGCAATGACAAATGAGATACAATTGAGATTTGAGAATTACTGCTATGATGCACTGAACTAATTAACATGATTTAGTATTTTGAAATAAGAAATGCTAGCAGAGACAAATGTAAACACAATAACAGAACCTTATGATTTGTTGAAACATTTCAGATTAGAAGCTTTTGATTTTGAAGTCTGCTTCCGAGCTCTTGTTGGTCTTGATGTATTTTCATCAGTCTTGTCTTGGGACTTTTTGAGTCTTGGGATTTTCTTCAGTGGCCGTCCCCTCTTTAGAAGTGGACGGCTCGCGTTGGTTATTGGCATCAACTAGGTATCTTCTGTCGCTGATCATGTGGTAACCTCGTTGATTTTAAACTGGATATTGTCTGGGATTGGTTTCTTGTTTGATGACTGTCCCGTATTACTTCATGTCAATGATCGAGGCTTTGTCATCTGGTTGGAGGGGTTTAAGGGCTTTGACGCTGTGTGTTGCATGTACCGGAATGGTGTTAGACGCATTCTGAACCTTTGCAGGCGCATTGACAAGTCGGCTAGATGCTTGGTTTGTAGGATGTGAAC